TATATATACACACACATATATATACATACATACACACACACACAAACTGCATATTACTGGGAATAACATCTTATTGATTTATTATCCTGGTCTTGATCGTATATGACAGCATTTCTCACACACACACAAATCTGAATCCAGAAATCCAGCGCAAACTCTTGCATGCATTGCCCCACATTCAGTGAGTGGGAGTGTGTTTTGGTGTGTCATCACTCAGTCTGCAATGCAGAAATGGAGTGTGTAGGCAGGCTGATGTACAGTACAGCGCTTCGTAACCTACATCAGGAACAACATGTACAGTCCTAAATCAAGCCGGCTCATTATCCACATGACTTTAAATAAAGCATGTGTTAAAAGGCATATGGGTGGGGTTTTAATAAATGATGCACTCTCTGCAATGCATCAGTGCAACCCGTTCACTTCTAATAATATCTCATTAGGTGTCATTTATGCAACCAACAATACCTGCATCTGTACTGCAGGTTGCCATGGCGTTAACATCTGTACACATCAATGGCATTGATTGATTAGTTGCTGCGCAATGCATGTACTGTAGCAGAGATGCAAAACATGCTGCATATCCTGCACCTAACTAGTATGCAATTTGCGTTATGCATATGAATATTGCGAAAGATGATGCTTACCTGGATCGATGCCTTCGAGACGAATTAGATTTATAAGCGCACTAGATGACAGCAATTCTAATATCGAAACACTAATATCAATTAATCTTATTCCGCAGAGCAGATCATAGATTTACGCCGATCAAATTGATTTCACGCAAATATGTTGGTGCATGTTAATTAAAGCGATCGTGGCATCCAGAGCGGAGCCGCGGCGGCGCGCAGGAGGGTCTGCGGCTGTCAGCATCCTCACGGCGGGTAATCATCCACCCCAGTGCCCTTGTTTTCTCCTGTAGTCGGAAACCGTCTTGGTTCGCGTTCGGAGTGACTGACAGGAGATGTGGCGAACTGCAGACCCTCCTTCAGTCCGCTCTGGCCAATGCAGAGTCTGCTGGAGCTGTTGCTAAGCCCGGACCACAGAGAAAAGCAGAAGAGCAGCACTTCACACACACACACACACGCCATGTAGTAATAGTGTAAATCACGGTCATGTTCGCGTTTTTTCCCCTCAAATATATACATTTTGTTAAACCAACTAACAAACAAGACAACAAATTAGCTATACTTTCAGTCACAATGACAAAATTTTATATACTGTGTGGTAAAAATTGATTATCATATATTGATGGTGGACAATTAATAACTGATTAAGGGCGACACGATGGCTCAGTGGTTAGCACTGTCGCCTCACAGCAAGAAGGTCGCTGGATTGAGCACCGGCTAGGTCAGTTGGCGTTTCTGTATGGAGGTTGGCTTACGGCTGGAAGGGCATATGCTGGATAAGTCGGCGGTTCATTCCACCGTGGCGACCCCTGATAAATAAAGGACCACGCCAAAGAAAAATGAATGAATAAATATATTATTATTTTTATTATTTTATAACAGGCCCGTAGCCTGGTGAAAAGGGTGGTTCTTTTTTCTCAAAAGTGTCCATTTTTGCAGTTATTCACCTTATGTTCTATTTAATGAGGTCTAAATACTGCATTTTAGTGACATTTTCAGCACTATTTTTAGCTAGTTGGATGGTCATCATAAGCAGACTTTTTGAGGTACCAAAGACATTTGCAAAATGTATAGAATAAAGGAAAATAAAAAAGACTTATTTTTAAATACAAATGTATAATATATAATAATAAATAAATAATATATCATTACAAAAAAGGAGTTGGAAGTTTTAAATGAAAAACAAACAAACTAGCATATTGTATTTTTTGGGGCAAATAACAAACTGGCCAGCATTGACGGCACTGGGCATTGGAAAAATAAACATAATAATAATGAGGAGCTTGACGATTTTTCTAGTCTCTTGTAAAAAAAGACTCCGGGCTCCTCATTAATTAAGAGGAGTTCTAATTATTTCATTTAATATTATTTATTGTTACGGGTCTGGCTTGCTGATGTGCGGAGCCAAGCAAGGTTTGAGTTCGTAACATACATTTTTGAAAGTTCATGGATAACAAAAATGGCCTAATTAATATTAAAATTGACTTTAATGTGGGCCGCTTTTGGTGCTTTAAAATTTTTTATTAGTATCTTTTTTCTTTCAAGAATAAGGTCCAAGATTCAGAATAAAAGTTGGGCTACTTGTAGTGAAAGATGACTTCACTTTCGTCATATTGCACAGTTGGATGTTGGACTCACTCATGAAAAAAATGATTGCATTAAAGCGTTCTTTGGGTTATTTTCACAATTTATGATGGCATAGCTGTCAAAATACGACAACTAAGCTCATGTATGGGACAAACTCTGGACCTTTTATGAGTTGGGGGGGTGGGTCTTTCGAACCACCCGAACCCCCCTGGCTACGAGCCAGTATAAGTACAGCTTTAGTCAACCTTTCATTTTAATTTTATTTAATTACTGTTACTATTAATACAGTTATTGAATTCTGAGTGAAATACAACAGGCTAGAAAGACTTTCCCTAAAATTAAGAGATGAAAAAAAAAAAACTTTATTTCATAAGAAACTACTAAAATACCATATATACATTTGGTTTAGAACAGTTTCAGTGTTTTGTGTAAAACAATTATTGAGACACCTCTGATTTAAGATGTGCAGTATTATAACAATTAATTACATCTACCAGACATGTACAATGCACTGTTAAACCTCTTAAGTTATTTGGCACAATCTAATTATACAAGTTATCATTGTAGCAATCATTGTAACACTTAAAGCAGGGGTGTCCACACTCAGTCCTAAAGGGCCGGTATCCTGCTGAGTTTAGCTCCAACTTGCTTTAACATACCCGCCAGGATTTCTAGTATATCTACCGGGGTGCCCAAACTCAGTCCTGGAGGCCCGGGTGTCCTGCAAAGTTTAGTTCCAACCCCAATCAGACACACCTGAGCTAGCTAATCAAACTCTTAAGCTGCGGTCACACTAGATTTTGTGTGTGCGAAATTCTGTCGTACAGTGCTGCGAAAAGGGATGGGATTAAACGAGATTATTAGACATTAAAAGAAGGGAACGATTGCTCCATGTTTTAAATTTCTGTCCTGAGAGGTCATGTTTTGATCCTCGGTTGGTCTCACACAGTCAAGTGACAAGATTTTACAGGTCAAAGTTCACCAAGCTTGAACTTTGCACCACGGCGAACTGTGAAACTTAATGCATGACCCTGCATTTCCGGTCTGACGCATTTGCGTGCGTATGAATGGATGTCTATGGGGAGAAAAGTCAAGTGTGACCGCAGCTTTAGGCTTTCTAGAAACATCCGCGCAGGTGTGTTAAGGCAAGTTGGAGCTAAAATCTGCAGGACGCCGGCCCTCCAGGGCCAAGTTTGGACACCCCTGATCTTGTAAGACCTTAGTTAGCTGGTTCAAGTGTGTTTGATTTGGGTTGGAGCTAATCTTTCCAGAACACCGGCCCTCCAGGACAGAGTTTGGACACCCCTGACTTAAAGGGATAGGTCACCCAAAACTAAATACTGTCATCAATTGTCACAATAGCACTGTAGGTGAATTGAAAAAGCTAAATTGGCTCTAGTGCAGGAGTTTGTGTGTGAATGAGTGTGTGTGAGTGTTTCCCAGTACTGGGTTGCGGCTGGAAGGGCATCCGCTGCTCAGTTAAAATAGTTGAGTTAAAAATATCCCAACATATAACCTAATTATAGGTTATTATAACACCTTCCCAACTATGGGTTATTTTAACCCAACGCATTGGGTTATTTCGATTAAATGTTTTTTTTTTCCATTCTGGTATTACTATTGCTACTATTACTAGTACTACTGTTTGTTTTAAATTATGGCTGTGTAAATAAATAACATGCAGTTTTTGAAAATGCTTGATTTCAGTTGCATTTTAAGTCCCAGACACATCGTTTTTATCCGTAGATCGATTACAAAGCGCGTGTTTGTATCATCAATAAGAGTGCTAGTGAAACGGATAGAATAGTTGTTAAATAAATAACCCAATGAATGTTAAAAATAACCCAACAAAGCACCAAATATTTTGAACTTAACCATTGGGTTAAATAAATAACTCAACGGTTTTTAGTGTGTGTAAAACATATACCGGAATAGTTGGCGGTTCATTCCACTTTGGCGACCTCTGAAATAGAGACTAAGCTGAATGAATATGAACGAATGAATTGTCACAACTCAGTTTTACTTTATTTGAAAAAAAAGAAGATATTTTGAAAAATGTTGGAAATCTGTAACCATTGACTTCCATAGTGTTTTTTTTAACTAAGTCAATGATTACCAATTTCTAACATTTTTCAAAATATCTTCTTTCGTCTTCAACAGAAAAAGAAACCAGTAAATAGTGAGTAAATTAAAATTTTGAGGTGAACTATCCCTTGACATGTCTGTTCTCTTTTTTTTACAGACGTACATTTCT